TTGACATGCACACACACAAACAAACATGCACACACAGAGGTTGGCATACACACCTGAGCGTACACACCTGAGCCTACATACACACACACGTGAACCCATACACACAGAAGAGGGCGTACACACCTGTACACACCTGGTCCTACACACACACACACACACACACACAAACATGCACACACAGAGGTTGGCATACACACCTGAGTTGACACGTACACACACAAAGTGGGTGTACACACCTGAGCCTACACACACACACACACACACGTGAACCTACACACACAGAGGAGGGCATACACACCTGAGCTCACACACACACACACACACACACACACACACACAAAGAGGAGAGCGTACATTCCTGAGCCTACACACACACACACACACACAGGTGGGTGTACACACCTGAGCCTACACACACACACACACATGAACACACACACACACAGGTGGGTGTACACACCTGAACCTACATACAAACACATGAACACAGAGGTGAGCCTACACACACACACACACGAACACACATACACAGAGGTGGGCGTACACACCTAAGTCTACACACACACACAAACACACACACACAGGAGGGCATACACACCAGAGCCTACACAAACACACAGAGGTGGGCGTACACACCTGAGCCTTTTTTACCTATATACACCAAAACTGTGCAACAAGCCACCAGTAGAAAGGGTCTCAATACAAATGTCCCCAGATGGTGTACCTGCTGGGTTTGAGTCTCCAGGGGCAAATTTATCATTCAATGTTCTGAGTTTTACAAACAATGTATTTAAAATTATTAAGAGGTTAAAAAAAATTAAAAAGGCCCAGGAGTCCAACCCCACTGTGGGACCCTCTATGCAGCGCCAGGCAACAAGGCTGGCCAGAGGAAGGGCCGGGTGACTGCTAGTCCTCCCGCCTGCCCTGTCGGCTGCAGGACGGAGCCTCCAGCGGGGAGGCTCAGGGAGGCAGGCCCCATAACGCAGGGCTCCCCCAGAGGCCTCCCAAGCTCCCCACCCTCCCTCTGCAGAGCTCTGCTGGCGCCGCTGCCCTAGAATCACCATGGTGGCAGCAGGTGGTGTGGCCACTCCTTGTGTCACTTTTGTCACCAGATTAATAAACAAAGGCACTGCCTCTGAAGAACGGGAGCCCACCGGCCCCCTTCCATTCCTGAGCCGGGGTCCTTGAAACAAAGCAGAGGCCCCCCGATCGGCCCCTCCTGGCCACTGCCCACAGACCTCCCAGAGGCCAGAAACCCCGCTCTCCTCAGCTGGGGCTCCCTGAGCTCCGCTGCTGACCCCTTGTCAGTGAAGACCTCTGAGCAGATGAAGAACGCAGACCACAGACCAGTCATCAGACCCAGCTTCAGGGGCCCTCAGGTGGGGCGCAGCGTACAAAGCCACCAGCGCCAGCTCTGCCCGGGGTCTCGGCGGCTAACTTAAACCATCTGGGAGCCAGGGGGCGGGGAGGGTCCTCCAGTGCAGGAGATATGCAGCCCAGCAAGCGCATGGAAGCCGAGGGGAAACTGCCTGCACGCCCCGGCCCCCCG